AATAATAAAGGAGATGCATGCACATGGTCGATTTTTTTTTTAAATTTATGTAGAAAATAGTATAATGTTTTTTTTTTTTAATCATTCCTTTCAAGTTTTTAAAATAATTTACAAGTATGATATAATTTTAATATTATTTAAATTAACTTATATAATTAATAATATTTAATTTAATTAAAATTATAAACCGGGATTGAGAGTTCCATGTTCCATCCTGACGAACCCCGACCTTGACCCTAATAAAAATTTTGACACCCATTAATTTATTTTATGGTTTGCTAAACGATAATAAAGATTATGTTTGGCTAAGCTTGCAAGGTATAGGCATCTTATAAGTTTAGCCAAACATGCTACATAACAAATATCAACTTAAAAGTAGGGTCGAATTATTTGTCATCCAAATTGGTTGACACAAATGAAAAACATCATCCCTAAAAACAGTAATGCCATATATTGTCATGGGAGTTTGAGGGACCTAAGAAATAATTCCATTTGCAGAATTGGTCCAAACAGCAAATGAAAGAAAGCATGAAAATGGAGATTCATAGAACCTGCAACTATATACAAAAACGACAGGGCCACAATCCACATGTTGCTTCTTGATTCTAATCATCGCCATCGATTTACTTCATTTCATTGTCTAATTGAAATAAAATTTGTGAATAAGAGTGGTAGAAATTGATGCATGCTTAGCTACAACATGGAACAAAAGAAAGGACTTTTGCCACTTGAACCATATGTACGGGAATGCACACGGGAGTGGGGAGCTGGTGGGAGCCAATGAGCCATCCCATCCCCTCCCATCACATCACATTAGCGTATTTGGAGCTCGATGGGAGATCGAAAGAAGATTTTGTCACTGTTTGATGTAAATCTTTTGAGAAAAGTGATTTGTTTGAAAAATATGTAGTTAAAAAGTAAAATTTATGGGTTAACTTACAAAATCATTTTAATGAAAAATGTATATTCAAAAATGAGTTTAAAAAAGATACGTCTTAAGTTTTTAATGGTTTCAATTGAACATGTTAACCTTAAAAAGAAAGGTGGGAAAGAACCGCTGAAGAAGGCGAAGGCAAAAAAAAAAAAATGTTTAAAATAGGTTAGCTTTCTTTTGTTCGCATAAATATGATTCTAATTTTTTTTTCTTATTTAATACACTCTAATACTGTTTTTATCTACTTTACTGTATTCACGAACATAATTAAAATGAAAAGGAAAAACCTTAAGCTTACTTCATCGGAAATCGAAACTGGAATCAAGAAAATATTATTGAATCTGTTAAGGGATATATAT